CGAGGATACTTTCCAGACCCACGAGGAACTCCTCACAGGGACTCGGGCAAGCAAGGCATGGTCTCTTCCTTTGTTCTGTCACGTAGTCTCTCTTTCTGGAAGGGACACTCAGCTCCCTGAGGGCCAAGCTTAGAACAAGAAACAGTAGGGACAGGCAGCTATTTCCCTTGTGTCTCCTGCCAAAGAAAGATGTTGGCATGGTGGTATCACATCTTCAGGCCTTGAAGAGATCTCCCGAAGTCTCCCGTGAGTCGCTGTGTCCCGGATTCCAGAGACTGTGTCCGTTGGGGCCTATTGTGCCAACTTTGTTAGTAGTGAGAAGCCCTTTCCCTCTCAGAAGTGACCTGGTTTACAGAAGACATGAGACGGTCCCCCTCCTCTAATAGCCCCGTGTGACCAGGCCGTAGAGAGGCCTCGGAGACCTCCCTTTTCTCTGTTACAGTGAATTTAGTGGATGGGAAGAACACCATCCTGTGAAGGGCCAGAAACCAAAGTTAGAAAAGACACCCCACAGGGTACCGTGATCAAGCGAGGATGGGAGGCCTCGGGCCCAGACTCAGAGGGCCAGCAGAAAGAATGATCCACAGTTTCATGACTTTCAAATCAGAAGAATAACGTTACCTACCTGCGAGATTCACATGTATAAGAAAGAGAAATTTGGTCATCCAAATGTTGAAAATATGCCTCATCTATATTTGGTCCTTCACAGTGACTGCCTCCCACACCCTTGGAATTTCCTAAGTGTTGACAGGGACAAAGGTGTCTTTAGTTATGTTCAGAGGTGACTTTTGGACCTCACCTAAGGGTGGGGGCTGATTGCCAGGAGGCCCAACCATGTGAGTAGAGGGACCTTTCACTTCCTCCTCCTGACTCCAAGGACAGGTCAGGGACTGGAGGGTTGAATCAATCACCAATGGCCAACGATTGGAGTAATCCCTGATGCAATGAAGCCTCCATATAAACCCTAAAGAACTGGGTTCAGAGCCCTTGCAGGCTGGTAAACATATGGAGACTCGGGAGAGTGGCGAGCCTGAGAGGGCTGGGGGCCTGTGACCTTTCAACTTTCCCGTACCTTGCCCTCTGTACCTCTTCCTCTGGCTCTGGATTTGTATCCTCTTTTTTATCCTTTGTTAAACTGGTAAGTATAAGGACGTGCTTCTGCAAGTTGTGTGAGTGGTTCTAGCGCATTAATCGAACCCAAGCAGGAGGTGGTCGTATCCCCCAATCTGCCTGGGATCGGTCAGAAGTACATAGAACAGCAGCAGCTTAGGACTGACATCTGACTGCCGGGGCTGAAGGGGGAGGACAGTCTCGTGGGTCTGAATCCTTAACAAGTGGGATCTGGGCTACCTTTGGGTAGAGATGTCGGAACTGAGTGGAAGTCTTGCACACCCTGCTTGGAGATGCGTGTGGGGCAACTCCGCAGACCCTGGAACTGGGTCTGGGACCCTAAATCACTGCCTCATACAGTGGTTGTCGGGTTGGGGTAATTAAGGCTGAAAGGGGCTTCGGTCCGTTCTGAGCACTTGTACTTAATACACTGAACTCTTCTGCTTAGACAAGACAACTCATAGTACTTTATACATCGCCGGAGACAGGAAGATTATTTAAAAATTGTTACGGAGGCCACACGTCATGAACACTTTAATAAGTAAGATTACCGAGCAGAGTTCCATTTTGAAAGATCCTGGTTGAGGGGCGCCCGGGTGGCTCAGGCGGTTGAGCATCTGCCTTCGGCTCAGGGCATGGTCCCGGGGTCCTGGATGGAGCCCCTTATTGGGCTCTCTGCTCGGCGGGGAGCCTGCTTCTCCCTCTCCCTCTGCCCTCAGTTCTGCCTACTGTGCTCTCTCTCTGTCAAGTAAATAAATAAAATCATTAAGAATTAAAAAATAAATAAAGATCCCAGTTGAAATTTTCAGGACACAGCAACATTCTTTCAAGTGTTTGGAAGTGTTCCTTCTGGGTGTCTCTGCAGATCCCGTTGTTAGAAAGAACTGTGGGCAGGACAGTGTTTGTGATGTAGAAAACAAGCTGGAGAGCTTGCAGCTGTGCAAGGGAGGAGGGAACATTCTCTCCTCACCTGGGCAGGAAGGACTCTGTCCCCAGCAGGTAGGAGGTCCTGCAGTTATCCTCAGCCTAAGCCCTGGAATT